TATTGTGTGTGCGTGTGTATATATATATGTGTTGGGAAACGTGCTAGTTTTAAAAACTTTTCGAGGGATTTAAATTCATAGATCTTGATTCATCACATAGAGACAAGTTTTATGCAAAAAAATAAAATAAAATATGATGTATTATTCAACTAAAAGATTGAATACTTACATCAAGGTTTGAGTAAACCTCAGATCTCTCCTCTAAAGTGAATGTTCTCACTTATTGTAGATCCCTTTTGCTAGACATCTTTTCCATGGATCTCCATCTTCTTGGTAATGGTCTTGCCTTTAGGAATCACTCATAAGCCTCCTTGAATGACCTTGGAAAACTAGGCTTGTGGGAGCCTCCATTAGATGAGAACATAAACCCTAATTTTCTAGAGAGAGAAAATTTATTCCTTTTTCCTTCTCATAAAAATCACCCCCTAAAATATACATAGACCATGTATATTTATAGGCAACATAAAAATAAAGAAAAGGAAACAACAAATCCTTCTCCATCTCTAATTCATATGTCTCAAATCTAATATGATTCCAATATCAAGTTGGGCTATGAGTGAGAATCCATTGGGCCTATTATTTTATTGGCTACAATGAATTAATAATTGGCCCGGTCCATGGACCCAATTCAATTAATTCATAAATTAATTTCTACTCCACTAAAAGAAATTAATTGAACTCCAATTAAATAATAAATAACCTCTAAGTCAATATTGCACTTTGACCCCTCTATGCATAATTAGTTATCGGATAAATATAGCCATCAATCCGACTACTTAATTAATATATTTATTTTGGTACCTTTGATTATTTCTGGCTCGATCACAATAAAACATTTGTTTGACAAAAATAATAATTTAAATAAATAAATATATAATAAATCATTTTGTCTAAAAACACACGAAGGCCTTCGAATTTACTTTGTGATCAACCATAATCAATACAAAATAAATACAAGTAGCAATGATGCAAATATTGAAAATATAACCCTCTAACTATTAATTACATAACTACCCAAAGTGTCGGTCTAAGGATCCCGAAGAATCCGCCGAACAAATCAAAGTAATTATTAATTAATAAAAGAGTCTATACTTTTCTCATACTTAAGAGTCAAATGCCATGACGGTGATAGGGAGTAATTGCATATGACGGCTCTCGCAATATATCTCAACCTAACGCGGATCCAGTTCAAGTCTTAATTAATTATGAGTCCATCCATAATTACCGACTATGAACAATTTATAATTACTATTTATATATCATGCATTGATTGTCATCACATACATATATATAAATATTTCTTGTAATTAACTGGACACTATCAATTTCATAGTGAATTGAAACATAATATATTGAATTCACCAATTATATAAATCATAAATATTTCAGATATGTCAGGAACATATGTCAATACAATCCAGATAGGAATTTGCTATGCCAGGGCATATAAATCCCAACAATATGTATATACAATGTTGAATCTTGAGAATTAACATGCTAAATATATGTTCTACTTACTTCAATCATGTACCCATGCTCTGTAATAATTATTGGGACCATATGGGACTTAGTATGCATGATTAGGACCCTTAACGGAGGAGTACGGACTGGAAAACAGAGGCTTAAGCTAGAGAAGACAACTTCCAGGTAGAGTCAGTTGGTTAACGCAGAGAGTCAGCCGACCGATTTAGGGAAAACAGCCAACCTATTTAGGGGAGTCAGTCGACCGATCTCACCTGCTCCTTCTGTTCTTTTGTTATTGTTTCCAGATTTTTGTTTTGGTCCATTTTAATTTAACTAATTGATATTAATGAACATGGTATATTCCCAGTATGCATAATATACATTAATATGCAAACATATAGGATGGTAATGGACTTTAAATGATTTATAAGTTATTTATGTGGTTTATAATTGCTATAATTGTTTTAATAATTGCAATAGATGGTAATATAATTTTAATCATGCTTATTACTATATTGATGATCTTGGATATGATCTATTTTAGCTGTTTTGCCATTGTTAAATATGGCTATGTTGAGTTTAATAATTGTATGAGATGAGATCATTGAGATAGTTAATTAATAAGCTAGGCTCTTTGATATTTACACAATTGTTAGATATGGCCTTGTTAATTTGATGAGTAGATGGGCTGGCTAATAAGTCTAGATACACTACATCGTGTCATTATTAGATATGGTTCTATTGATGATGGTATTACATTATATATATGTATTACCCTAATATGAGTTGATTTGTGCTCATTATTAGATATGGTTCTATTGATGATGGTATTACATTATATATATGTATTACCTTAATATGAGTTGATTTGTGCCTTGGGATCAGTGGTTGGGATTAAGGCATATATTGTCAGAGATGAGTAGCTGGATATAGGAAATGTGTGAGCCCTCGTAAAATGAGACTCTTAACCACCTTGTGTGTGATTTTTCATGAGAAATTCACTATCCGGCTAAGACTGTCCTATATTTCAGTGAGTGTCTTTAGTGTGTATATATATGCATCGACTATGTAGCTATTGCATGAGTTTGGATAAGGATGTATCGTTTATTGGTTCTCTGATTGGGTAGTTGTAGAAAGAACTTGTTTGTGGGTTTTGACTGACCTTTGTTATATTTTTTAGGTCCTCGCCAGTACCAGTCTTATAGGTCGTTCATGCAGATCAGATTCCAGTAATTATCTTTACTCTTCCGGATTTATCGACGTAAGATATTACTTCATGTTTTTATTATTCAGACTCAGATATTTATTTATTATTCAGTTATGAGATTTTATTAGGGGTCCATGATATACGGATTTCTGAGTTGTATTATGGAGATTTGTTTACTATTGGATTTAATAGAGTTATGGTGTCAGAGGAGTTAAGGATTATTAATTATTATTTTAGTTTTTCTTTTCAACGTTATTATTTATTTTATTATTTCCATTTGTATTATGTGCTTGCTTTAAATATTAATTATTTGATATCTCCTGATCTTTGGGCGAGGACTTGATCAATCTAAACTCAAATATTGGGGATATCACAATTTCTTTATCGAAATCTGATCTGTTAACAGGTTTACTTATCAAACATGTTTAAATTAGGGTTAAAATTATAAAATTCTCCTTTACTTTCCAGCAACATCATATAACTTTATAAGGTGTAAGAAACCCCTTTACTATATATATATATATATATATATATATAAAGTGCAAAAATTACCCACTCTCTTTTAGAATATATATATAAATTCCTATATTTTAAATTTTTTGTGCAAATTATCCCTGATCAACATTTTTGATCAACTTTTTTGTTAACACCCCAAAATACCCTTAAGGGAATTTTAGATTTTTTTAATAAATAAAAAATTTTAAAACTAAAAAATTGGGGTTTTTATAAAAAAATTTAAACACACCCTTATTTATTATTATTTATTTATCAATAAATTAAATTTTTTTATTATTATTATTCTAAATTTTAAAATTTTATTGTCCTGAGGGCATATTTCAGTCTTCAAATTGAAGAATTGTCCTTATTTGCTCAAGTTGAAAAATATAAGAGAATTTTTTAAACACCAAATAAGTATTTGCACATCTTATATATAGCAAGGGTTTCTTGCACTTTACCAAAAAAAAAAAAAAATCTTGATGGTTGAGGAAGGAAACTGGGAGAGAGATTTCCTCATCGGAGTTCTAATCGACATTATTGGCTACTGTGGAAAAAGACCATTAAGTTAAGAACAATTTAGTTCTTTTAATTCTTGGATCACTTACATCATTATGACATCATTTTTTAAAATATTAAAATCGATAATTGTTTTATAAATTCACCATTGAGGTCCTAGTAATCCATCCAAAAAAATACTATCTTCGTCTAAAAAATAGTCTTTTGGGAACCAAATTTATCCATAGTGGATCCATAATGATGTGATAATTTACTTTTTATAACCAACGGGTCAGTGGCCTAACAGTATCAGCCTCTTACTTCTCAAAAGGAAATCAGCCAACGGGCCAGTGGCCTAACAGTATCAGTCTCTTACTTCTCAAAAGGAAATCAGAAGTTCAAGTCTCAGTAGATATGTGTGTGTACTAAACTAGGAAAAAAAAATTTACTTTTTATTAATTCAATGTAGAAAAGTTAAAATGATAATATACAAAAAAATAATAATAATAAATAAATAAATAAGAGACTTATTTTAAAACAACTAAAAATAATAATAAAAATAAAATGAACTATATTTTGTGAAACGGAGTAATTGAAAATATTAGTCTATGGCTGCTTACTCCATCTCTCTCTATCCCCTGCTCCCTGTAACTCCATCAGTTTTTCTCCCTGCTCCATTCCATGAGAGTGGGGAGGTGAAGTTTCCTGATAACAAGCTAATAAATTCGGCGTGTCTGAATAAGTTTCATTCTGTGGGTGGTTTTCACGCCATTTTGCTTTTGTTTGTCTAGATCTGCTCATGTTTTTCCTTGTTTCCGACTTCCGACTAGACGGGATGAATCTGTTATTTTCTTTACGATTAGATCTCTGATCTATGTAAATTTTTATTGTCCCCGACTTGTTTTGTTTTTGTGTGGGGTTTGAGAATTTTTTTTCCAGTAAGCGCCTTGTAAATGTAATTTTAGAACCGTCGCCTTGATAATGACCTAACTTTGACCGTTGCCTTGGTTGTTTCTGATATGTTCATAGTCCTTTTTCAATAAATCTAAAACATGTTTTTTATTTTTTTGTATTGCTTCATAATTTATCTGACTTTATCTAATTTGACTTTTGCTTCAATACTGCCATTGATGGCTGGGCCTTTCTGCCTTTGCAAGAAAATATATATATATCAGTCTATGTCACGTGGATTCGCATGGATATTTTGTCCCCATAAATAAATTTGTCCACGTATAGAGAGAGCCGTGTCTAATCAGAATCCTAAAGTGGGATATTTTGTCGTCCAAAATACAAAAAAGGTGCCCTTGATGTGGTCCCCAGTGGAGTGAGAACCGTCTGGCCACAATACCTCATTTGATAGCAATTAAATCACAAGGGTAAATCAGTAATTCGGTCTGACTTCTGTTTACGTCAAATTGATAAAATAAAACCGTCAATGAACAACAAAAAAAAACAATCCATTATTTTTTTTATTTTTTAACCTGCTAAGAACAAAGCCAAAGCCATACACTTGAAGAGTCAGACCTGAGGAGCATAATTGCAGCACCGACTTAGACAAAGTAGTAGGAAAGTCAAGGAGATGGCCCCACAGCAGGTAAACAAGATCAGTGAAAAAATCTTGAATACCATGACGTCACGATAGAAAGCACCGTCTGAGACCAGCGGGAAAAGAGTCAAAGAAAGAACTCGCCAACACGCAATCAATATCTTCAAAAAAATCTTGAAAAAACGTCACCCATGACGTCACCAAGTCGGCCTCCAAACAAACAGAAGCCGACCACCACAGTCTACCCAGCCCAAAACTAACCGATCACGCCTACCGAAGCACCAAGAACCTTATATTCCGGCCAACTACACAGCGACGGGACATCCATCATCCAAAAACCATCCAATATCGTAAAAACAGAAAAAGCTATACACAAAAACAGTCCTTTCACATAACGCCGTCGCACAAACTTCCACTTCAAGCTCGCCGGAGACCACCGCCGCTCGTCTGCCCAACCAGAACAACTCATCGGCGGCCAATGAAACCCTAGCCTCAACCATCCGTCCGGCAAAACCCTTCGCGTCCGAGAACGTTTCCTTGACGCCCTACTCCAAACGATTGCTAGCAATTCCAAGGAACTCCCAAGCAACGAACCATTAGATACCAAAAGAAAACCCTTCCCAGACCCAAATCCAACCCAAATTCAACGCAAGACACCACGGAGGACCGATTCATCCACATCAGATAACCGAAAACCAAAATCAAAAGGAAAATAAAACAGAATAAGGGGGCAGAAAACACCACCAAAGCCACACAAATATTGTAAATTTAGCGACCGAAAAACGAAAGCGAGAGTAACTACATACCAACGCCATATCGCCAAGGACCGATCAGCCCACCCAACACAGGTATGGTGCAGAAAACCCACAAGATCCACTCAACTGAGATGGAGATCCACACCAACAATCAGCCAAACCCCACCAAAAAGATCGCGATGATCGCAAAACTAAAACTCTCGATGAAACGAGACACTCTCTCTACAGAGAAAACCTCGACAGCAGCGAGGAACTATCAGTTCTCTTCTAAAAAAAGACCATAAATTTTTTCAAAACTTAAACTGCTAACCCAATACACAAGACTTGAGACATGCTGTACGCAGCACAGCCCCGCATCGAGAGACATGCTGTCCGCAGCACAGCCCCGCATCGAGAGTTTCCTGTTTTGAATCGTGGATTACAATGAAGCTATCTTACCGTTCACCGTTTCCCCAAAAAGAGTATTGGTGCTACTACTACTACAAAAAGTATATTCAAGCGATTGCATTACAGTTCAGGATGCACAGAGACTGGTTTTAAGTGTTTTTTTCTCATTCAGAACAAGAAGAGGTTATCAGTAGTGTAATGCACAGCAGCAAATCTCACCTGTTGTACATCAGCCCTCGCTTGATAATTAAAATGTTGAGTAGAACAGGCAAAATTCATATATATGTCTAAAAACAAAAGAAACTTCTTAAAAATGTCAAACACCCCCTAAACCACTTCTATTGCAAAACCCCAGTTACACTCGTTAACAGATAATCATAATATTACACACCTTAACATTAACAGATGCCAAACATTCAAGAGTGCGCGAGGAAAAATGTCCTTCCTTACCTTCGCCCTAAAAGTCGATGGTTTCACATTCTGTTCTCTCTGTGCCGCGGAGCACAAGTGATGATCTCATCCACTCTTAGAATCATCTCAGCTGCCTCGGTTGCGGAGAGCAATACAGCCTGTTTAACTTTGAATGACTCGGATATCCCCAGCTCTGACATATCTCCTACCTGCCAAAAATACCCCAACAGTAAGCATACAAGCGGTTTCACAAATTAGCAAACAGGAATTCATATAACATTCTGCCAGAGAATCTAAAGACATTCACAATGCTGCACAACAGATCAAAAGGTCCAAAATAACGCTCAACCTACAATGACAAGGTTTACAACGGAAAGGCATGACCCTCAAATCTGAAAAGTAAAAGGCAGTTGGCCCATCACCCATTTGGCTATGTAATTATGGAAGTCATGTCCCCAATTCTAAATTGCCATTTACCCCCTGTTAAACAAGCTGATGGGACCAGCGTAAATTTTGCAGGACACGAGAGTTCTGTAATGCCCCATTTTTTTCCCTTCGAAATATATGAAGTTTATTCTCCATGCAGTTACAACATAAGAGGGGGCCAATGTCCAGAAAAGCCATTTTCACAAAATGAGCTGACATTGTCATATCATCATGCATGTGCTCTCCAAAATTATGAAGATAAAGCAAGCACTCCATAGTTAAATTCTTCTACTTTCCAATTTTAGATGTGTTACTTACAGAACCAGAGATAACATCAATCCCTACAGTGCTCCCCTCCTTGTGGTGCTCTGCGCGGAGCTGAGCAATCAACTCTGCACTGTCCAAACCAGCATTGTCAGCAATGGTAGTTGGAATTGCCACGAGTGCCCTTGAGAAAGCTTCAATAGCATGAGATTTTTTCCCAGGAGTCTTCCAGGCCAGCTCATCCACAGCTTTTGCCATCACCATTTCAGGCCATCCACCTCCGAGCAAAACCCTGCTGTCATTTACTGTCTGAGACAGCACACACAAAGCATCATGCAGAGATCGTTCAGCTTCATCAAGCACATGAAAGCTGCCAAAAAGAGAATGAAGTTGCACATCAAATGTTACATCTGCATGAAGGGTAAAGGAGATGATCTCGATTCCTATGTCACAACAAAAAATGGAAGAATGCTGACAGGATAACTAGTTCAAAACACAATTAAGAAAGCAGATAATGTCTGAGTCAAAACATACACATACTGAGAACATGTCCAACCATTACGCGGTCTAGTATTGGATTAAATGTAATTCTTGTTTTGATCTTTAATGATTTTTCTATATATCAAATCTTCTTCTTTCTTTCTTTCTTTCTTTCTTTCACAAAGGGCCTGTTCACTAAAACTTTCACTTTCTGATTTTCACTTTCTCCAAAGTAAAATCATAATTTTACTTTCATGAGATGAAATAGAAAGAGAAATGATGTTTAATAATATATTCTCCTTTCAATATTTTGAAAGTAAAAACATAGAAAATGAGTTTAATAATTTTAATTTTGTCTTCTTGGTCATCTTGTGTGTAAGAGATGGGTAACAAAGTCACAGAGGCTTCTTGCGTCTGATATCAATATACACACAAATTATTACAAACATATATATATAGGTGCATTTCTGGTTGAATTTACCTCTGTATATCCATGGGTATATAGAAAAAGTATCGAAAGAGATTGACGAGGCTGATATTCACCTCCTATAGACCAGACTCCAGAGCCTCGAATTACTGTGTGCCGATGCCTGAATCCATGGAAACTAGAGCCTCGAATTTGGGTCTCTCTCTCCAATGCCGGAATCCACATACAAACTTACTGGGACTAGAACTTTGGAGTATGAATTGCTTGTGGATGTGAATTTGGGTCTCCCTCTCCGATGCCCAATTGCCGGATTCCTTGCTTGCATCATCACAGACTCGTCGCTGTTCGGTCCGCCGGTAAGTTCAGTCCGGCTCAGCTTGGAGTCACTGCTCGCCGCCGCCGTTAATCTACTTTCAGCCAAGGGGCTTAGGTAAAACCAGTAGAGAGAAATTAGAGAGAGAACGTGTTTCTATCTTCTCTCTCCTCTCATTGGATGCAACTCGTCCAGATAGAGAGAGAGCAGAGAGAGCGATACTAATAGAAAGTGTGGTGGGTGGTGCCTTCCATCGTTGCCGGTGGGTGGTGTCTTCTATTGTCGCCTATGGGTGGGATGAGATGATGATGATAGAGAGGGAGATGACGATGGCGGTGAGAATGGTGGGGTGAGATGATGATGATAGAGATGGAGAGGATGATGGGTGAGTAGAATGCTACAGTAACAAAAAGTATTTTCTATGTACAATGTAGGAAGTAGAGAAAGTAACAAATTCTCACTCTCTCTTTCCTTCATTAAATGTGAAAGTACTTTCTAAAAGATGAAAAGTAAAATTATATTAATAAACATGATTTGTACTTTTACTTTACATTTTATGAATTGACAGTAGAAAACAGGAATTATTCCAGTTAGTGAAAAGGCCCAAACTGAACTGGAACTAGTCCAAATGACAAGCAGATATAACTAGATCTATTGGTGATAAACATAAACTTGCATTAAAGCATGATTATATGCCCCGAACTGTTAATTTTTGCTCAACCAGTCAACACACAATTTGAAGTATAGTGTCACGTTCCGATTCCTAACGACGCCATGAGCATAGAAGACACGCATGCTGGTTGGCTAAGAACATTCATTGACTGAGAATGGTTCCAGGGAAGGGGCGTGCAGGACCACAAGATGGTACCTCTTCAGAGTTCAGGCAGGTCGACTCGGTTCAGTTCGAGGTGCTTTTCGCTAGTCGTGGACTTGACTATGAAGAAGGGAGTTGGCCATCCCTGCACAAACTGGTCGGGAGCTGGAGCCGTTCCCCTGACGAGGCCAAGGCAGGCCGAAACCAGTCAGCATGTATCCTTGGGAGGGCAAGTCGTGGTGGCTGACCAGGGCGCTTGCGCGAGCTAAAGCAATGCCTTAGTGCCGCACAGGCAATGCCGCTGCGCCAAATCTCTAGGCCCGTGACAAATGATATCAGAGCAAGACTTGGGGCAAAGCACAAAGGGGTGCCCCCTTGTCGATCCGGGGGTCTTGAGAATGAAGTGGGTGCACTAAAGCGTCGGTGGGCAATCAATGCTGTTGGAGGAGAGCCTCCATCTCCCCAGGAAGATGCGCCCTTTGAAGCCAGAGGGCCGCGCGCATCGGATGGCCGGAGGGCCGCGCGCACCAAAGTTCTTGCAAGTTCAAAAGGCATGCAAACCGTTGTGAAGGGCGGGTATCAAGTCAGCCAAAGGGCTCTTGTTTGCTCGGGGTGTCGCGGAGGAGGCATAACGTGGGGTTGCGTCCAGAAGAAGTGGGCGTCCCTTTAGCCCGAAACCCTATCATTGGGCGAGTGCAACCAGGGGTTGTACAAGGAAGCGATGGTGGGCAAACGAGCATACCACTTGGAGGAGAGAGAATTTGGAATGTTGGACGCAGCGGAGTCAGCGCCGCACTGCGACGAGGGCGCAGGATTTGGGTGGGGGAGAATGTCACGTTCCGATTCCTAACGATGCCATGAGCATAGAAGACACGCATGCTGGTTGGCTAAGAACATTCATTGACTGGGAATGGTTCCAGGGAAGGGGCGTGCAGGACCACAAGATGGTACCTCTTCAAAGTTCAGGCAAGTCGACTCGGTTCAATTCGAGATGCTTGTCGCTAGTCGTGGACTTGACTATGAAAAAGGGAGTTGGCCATCCCTGCACAAACTGGTCGAGAGCTGGAGTCGTTCCCCTGACGAGACCAAGGCAGACCGAAACCAGTCAGCATGTATCCTTGGGAGGGCAGGTCGTGGTGGCTGACCAAGGCGCTTGCGCGAGCTGAAGCAATGCCTTGGTGCTACACGGGCCGTGCCGCTGCGCCAAATCTCTAGTTGGCCCGTGACAATAGGGATGGTCGGACTACCATTAATAACATGGTTATACAACCCAAACCATCAAAATAAATATCAAACTACCCAACCCCTTTCCAGTTGCCATTAAACAGAGATGATCCCACACACATTAACACATTCCCTTGGCACCCCAAAACAATATTTGGCTTAAATCCCAATACTTGAAAGTAAAATAGGCAAAAACATGTGAAAATCATTTGCAATGACATTTAGCATAAAATCCAACAGCAAACATTCAGAATCCAAAGTGACCCCATTTCTAACGAACACAAGCCATGTATGCTCTAACTAATAGCACTAGTGTCCATCTTGACGATAGTTCGTTCAGTTAACTATAGATCTTCCATCAAAATTTTAAAACTACCCCAACACAAAGGATGTATATAGCCATTAGCCAAAAAGACACAACTACTCAGGTTCTGGAAAAAGGTTTTGGAAATTAATTTAATGTTTAAACATGTTCATATTGTTCCACATCCAAACCTAGGTAATGAACCTGATAATGTTGAAGCATCAAAGAAGAATATCTTATGAACAGCTAACAATCTTATCAGCAAAGTTTCATCATCGTCATCCTTGCCTTAATCCCATATGAATCAAGTCAGCCATATTAATTATTTTTCTCCATTCTATTCTATCACAAGTCATTTTGCCTATTATATTTAAATTTTTTAAATCATTTCTTATAACATCAACCGTGTGAGTTTTGGTTGGCATCTTTGTCTCTTACCTACTATGAAAACTAATCGTCCTCTTCTTACTAGTGCATTACAAGTCTATGCTATATATGTCAATATCACCTAAGTTTGCTTTCTCTTATTTTATCACTATAGATGTCACACTTAATTTTCTCCCACACTTCGATTAATAACCCTCATCTTCTAGTTACTCCTATCATCTATCTTAGCATTCCCATGTCAACTACATAAATATGTTGTTTCTTTTTCAATGCCTGAGTCAGCCACATTAATTCTCTTTATCCATTGTATTCTATCACAAGCCATTTTGCCTATTATATTTATTGTTTTAAAATAATTTCTTATAAATTCATCCATGTGAGTTTGGGTTGGCCTCTTTGTCTCTTACCTTCTATGAAACTAGTCGTCCTCTTCTTACTAGTGCATCTACAAGTCTACGTTATATACGTCGATATCGCCTAAGTTTGCTATCTCTTATTTTATCACTATAGATGCCACTCTTAATTTTCTCCTACTTTAATTAGTAACTCTATCTCTTTTAGTAACTCCTACCATCTATCTTAACATTCTGATGTCAGCTACATAAATAAGTTGTTGTTTCTTTTTCAATGCTTACCGTGCTATTTTGCCTTTGGTGCTTGTGGAAGGAAAAGAAATAATAGGGTTCATGGTGGACAGTAGAGTTGCTGCAGATATTGCTTCTGATATTTTTTTGAAAGGAGCTCAATCTATAAATTTCTCTCCAAGACCATGGTATCATGCTGTGATTTCAAGTTTACTATTATTGTTGGTTGAGTAGGTTGTTTTCCTTTCCAATGTGCTTGTGTGAACAGAGTTTTCCACGTTTTCCTTTCCAACGTGCTTGTGTGAACAGAGTTTTCCACTTTTTGAACTGTACCATATTGTTACATATTCGTATTAAAATTTCAATCATTCGGGAAAAAATTAAATAAATATTAGAATAAAACTTCAATTCCATGCGTAATGTTGATTATGCATCTTCTAAATTATGATTCATTTGAATTTTTCATGAATGCCAAATATGGGATGAACATTCAAATCTTACAAAAAGTAATTGAAAGGTCTAAGAATAAGTGAACAACTTATTATTACACCAGGTTTAAGTCGATCCTACTTTCTGTATGTTAACTACCATCTACTCTAAAAGCTTAAACTATTAGAGAGGGTGTAACTTTAATACTTAAATCCTTCAACAGGCCCTCTCACGTGTGGCCTTTTTTTTGGTCCAACACGTGTTTTTTCAATTTTTTTAATTAGGGTGACGGTGAGGTTTGAACTCGAGACCTTTGACTCTGATACCATGTTGAAAGAAAAATAAAAGTTGAAGAGAAAAACTAAAACATGAAGAACACAAGAATATATTGTAGTTCAGCCACTAGGGCTTACATCCACGACACACAAAACCCAGAGGGCTACATCTCTTTCATTACATTCTCTCTTAATTTTGTTTACAATAACCACCTCTATTTATAGATAAATTGGGGACAGCTTATAGCTATAATAAAGGAATTACACAAAAAGTCAAATACAAATATAGCAACTTGTTGCCCAAGTATAACAACTAAACATTTTGTTAAGGAGTGATCTAAGGCCTTAAATCACTCGTATAATTATTCTCCAACACCCCCACCCCCTCCTCTCCTCAAGTTGGTACACAGATATTTAACTCAAGTGTCCAATTTGAAATTAAATATAAAGTTGTCGAGAGTCTGAGACGAGTTGATCTAGAAATCCGAGTTGATCCGAATATCCGAGACGAGTAAAGTATAGAGTAAGGTATTATAAACCTGCTCTGATACCACATTGACTACCATCTACTCTAACAGCTTAAGCTGTTAAAGAGGGTGTAAATTTAATATTTAAATCCTTCAACACTATATAGAACCAAGAATATTTAGGATACAATTATTACACCAGGTTTAAGTAGGGGAAAAGGCTTGTTGGTGGTGGTTGTTTCTTCTCTTTTTGCTAGTACGATTTGAGGTTCAGTTATAGTGGGGAGATAATAGTTGCTAGATTTCAAGAATGCAAATGAATCATAATAGCAAAAGCAAAACTAAAGGCTAGTGGTGGTCCATCAAAGCTAGGTTGGACGGCTGGACTAGTATAGGACTATGCTTTGGCATTATGTGAACCTACACTGCAACGACTCAGGTATATGTTTCAGGCATGGGTACGTTTTTACAGTCAGGCGTGTGGGTATGTTGTTAACTGACTTATTCCTCAAGTCCCCAAAACCAAATACAGACACGGCCAATCTTTGCATCTTTTACTTCTCTCGAGTAAAAAGATGCTTTTATGTAATACAGTATGTTCACTATGAGAACTTGTTTTAAAGCAGCAGTGTAACAAAAGGAATATAATAAGAGAATTTTTGCGCAATTATATAATAAACTTGAATCATCAAATATGCTATCTAGACACATTTTGACCAGCGGACACATATACATATGTCACATCCATAAGCTAGCATCTCGTGTCCAGCACGAGTACTTCACTCATTTAGAAGGGTCGTGTAACACATATTTGCACAAAGTGAGTGCTCTCAACTCTAATGCACATTATCATGCTTCATAGTCCAATATTTTACGAGTGCATCAATCAACAACCCTTAGCAAGAGCAAAACTAAATCAAACAAAAAAGCGCAACTGTCAAGATAATGTACCTCGCACCTCTTAATACTATTGTACATGCCTGACCCATCTCAACACCAGAAAAGTGGATCAACTTATCCTCGCCAATCATAATTTCCTCAATGAGCTTGCAGTGCCCAAGCTTAACTGACTCTGGATTGTCAAAAGTCGATGCAATCTCACCGCCAGTGACTAAAGCAAGGCGCTCAATTCCATCAAAATCAGCATGCTCAATTGCAAGGATTCCTGCATCAGCAAAGAGTTCCTCTGGGAAATTGTAGATCAACTGTCGGTTAACAAAGCAGTTAATCCCATGAGCTATAATCTTTTGCACCTTCTCTCTCATTTTTTCCTTTTCAGCCCCTTCAATCTCTGCAACCCTGGACATTGAATCAACACGAACACGTGCCCCATAAATTTTCACTTTATCTGTGTCCATTGCAGTATTTGCCACCAATATCTTTGCGTTCTCTATACGTTTTGGTTGTCCAATACCTATCTTTTTGTCTAAAATAAATCTGCAAAAAAAGTAGAATGCCAATTAAGAACCAAACCATTTAGTAAAACTGCAGACATGGCATCGTAAAGAAGAAAAAATAATGGAAAACCCATAAATTAGTTACTGAGCGGACAGAGGAGAAGAAAATAAGTAAATGGCATGTCTGCTTTATGTTGGCATGTCCATCACGTGCCCATTGCGTGTTCGCGACATATCCAAATAGGAGAGATATACACATTTTTGGCGTGTTTGACACATGTCGAGTCATGTCTAACGAGTGCCCGTGTCCAACACGAACTTTAATCGAATCCATGCTTTCAAGGATTCGAGTTCACGGTGGGAGCGTCCTCATGAGAGATTTATTCTTATTCTTTTGTCCCTGCCCCCAAAAAAATTAAAAAATACATATACATATGACATAAAACACATGAAAGGGTGCTAAAAATTTGGTGATTTTATAATCCTAAAAAGCAATCTCTTATCTTATTCCATCTAGAATCTAAAAAGAAATTCTAGGAAGGGAAACAGAAAAAGATGGATAGATAGATATACAGATGGAGAGAGAGAGAGAGAGAGAGAGGCCCAGTACAGATTGGGGTTCATGAAGTTTACAGATCATTCTCAAGTTGATTTTAATCCTCTCCAGATAGAAATGGATGGACTAAATCTTATTAGGATGGCAAGAAAAAGTTTTGATATTCTTCCTCCCCGCGAAAGCATAAAAGTCAAACTAATTACAACCAGCAGCAAAAGATAATTAAGACACAAAGCCAAATAGTTAATTAAGCTTTGGTTAAGTTTTCAGTTTCCTCAAAACCTGAAAAGAAAACGAAATCAATAAAGTTAAAAAGATTCAGAGTTTTATTAACCAAACAAATATTCAGCATAAGTCATCCGTGTAGTCCTAAAAAGTAAAAATATCAAGAGTTTTATTGAAAGCATAAAGAAGACTCTAATATTCAGTATAAATCATCTGTGTAATCCTAGAAAGACCCAAGACCTTATCAAAAGCATATAGAAGCCTCCTTTCTGCAAGATCTGCTAGAGTAATGCAAATGCAGTGCTGTAAATGGAAATCAGCTGATTCAATTCGTAAAGGTACTCACCCCTCATCTAAAAACGAATCTTTCAGTGATCCTCCAGGTTTCTTAATAATCTGGATGGATTCTAAGTTTGTACTGCCCTGCCATTTCCCAGGAAAAAAAAAAAAAAAAATCAGACAAACATACATAAAATATTTCAGCCACAATATGAGACCAGAGGCATCAAACTAGAGTAGCATTTCTGAAAGCATGAAACTTCTAGAAATTTCAAAATGAGGGATAAAAACATAAAAAATAAGAAGACATGGTCAAGTTAAAAGTGAGTGCCTTACGCAATCTACTAGATGCATCAAACTTGAAGAAAATTGGATACGGATTACTTTCTTGAAAAGAGTGAATTCCGCTACGTGAGTCCGGCAGTCCAGCAAAAGAATCGGTGAAAACCACTCATACCCAAACCAGATAGGCATCCACATGAAAAACAAAAATTTCAGAAGCAAACCTAATTTGAGTGAACAACACAGCACAATGTCTCCTGATTAATAAAACATTACAAGTTTTCCTCTTTCGCCTCAAGTTTTCTAACCTTGTCATCATATACTCCCCATTACAACAAAATACTGAAGTACAGTTTTACATAACTACATGATTTGCAACACATGACAGATAATTGATTGACACCCATCCCACAAACCTGATATCCTACCGATGCATCAACTAATCCATCCCTTAATTTGGTACCTGCAGGCATTTTTATTCATGGGGAACTTTCTAGCAGTTTTTTATTTTTATGATTAAATCCTCCTATTAAAGGGAAAATTAAAAAAAAGACAACTTATACATGCAAGATTACCAATATGACCGTATCCAAATAGTATATGGCTGAAAGAGCCACTAAACAAAATTAATTAACAATACAGTAATTATACTAATTTAGTTCAAAATGCCCCTCTATGCTCTTCCTCAATTTTTCACTTTCTCTCTCCGTATCACCACCACCTACCAAGCTACCACCATCACCAATACCCACCACCATCACCATCACCATCACCCACAAGTCACCACCACCACCACCACTCACTGGCTACCACCACTCCAACACGGCATCGACCACAAACCCTCCATTTCATCTCCCATACATATATACACATATACACACACACCCCCGCAAATCTCCATCTTCGTCATCTATATATATATATATATATATATATATATATATATATGTATGTATGTATGTATGTATATATACTGACCATCACCACCACCCCCACTGTCCATCACCACCACATCGACTATTTTTGTTGCCGTCCTCCCTCCCACCTCCAGTTCCGATTCCACAAATTCATAGAGCACTCAAAGCTCCCTGGCGACTTCGACGAGTCGTCTCTCGAGTTCCAGCGCAAGATCCTTGAACGGTCCGATCTAGGCGAAGGGACCTACCTCCTGCCAGCGATGCACTGCATTCCGCCTCAGCCGTTGATGGCCACCGCCAAAGAGGAGGTGGAGCCGGTCATATTCAGTGCCTTGGACAACCTGTTCAGTGCCACCTCTGTGAAACCCCAAATCAATCCCCTTTACCAAATGCCAGTGCTCACAAGCCAAGCACGCCGAATCGGATGCCATTAATTGCACAACCCACCCAACCCCAAATTCACCTCCATCCCCACCATCCACCACCACCAACCACAATTTCAACTCCATCCCCAGAAACGATCAGTAGACCAAGAGCATAACTCGTCACCTTCCAACGTCCAACAGTCCCAATGACTAGCAATCAATCCGGCAATGTGATGGGTTTGGGCTTGGGGTTGTAATTGGTATTTGGGTTTGTGAATGGGTCTTGCGGCTTGGGGTTTAGGGACTTTTTAGATTCTATTTAATGATTACAAACAAAACCCCAAGATTTCAGTTAGTGTTAATGTAGATTATTGGGTCATTTGAAGATAGATGGAGCTAGGGTTTGGTTGGAAATTTTTTTTGCAGAAAAGTGAGTTGGAGAAGAGAGCGCCTGATGAAGAATGCCGGAAAAGCCACCTGGATCACCGGCACCACCGCTTTCTGAAATTGAGGGGGAAAATCTGTCTTTTTTTTTTTTTTTTTTTTTGTGAGAAAATGAAGATCTAGGTTTTATGATGATGATGATGATGGGGTGGTGGTTGTGGCGGTTGAGGTGTGATGATGCGGTGGCGGTGGTATATGTGGTGGGGGTGATTGGTGGTGGTGATATGTGTGTGTGTGTGTGTGTGTGTGTGCACGCGCACCATTTATACAGAGAGAAAGGGTGAGGGTGATTGGTGATATATATATATATGTATGTGTGTGTGTCTATATATATATATATATCTATACAGAGAGAGAGAGAGATGGTGGGGTGGTCCTTTGGTGGTCAGTGGTGGGGGGGGGGGGGGGGGGGTGGCGATGGTGG